CCTATATTTCATCTTCATACTTTTCTACTGGATGGTTAAGACCAAGGTAAAGCAGAACCTATGCAACAAGAGTTGTAGCTTTTTGGTTTGAGCAATTTTAGTTTTAAATACCCAAAATATCTTATTAAGTGTCAGTTTTCTATGCCCTTACTGGTTCCACACTCTACATAAGTAATACCAAAGCTGTTCTTCCAAAGGACAGCAAGATAACTCAGTAGACCAAGAGCCTCCTTAGGCAAGCACAGGGACCAGGGTTCAAATCCTGGTGCCACATATCCTGTTGGCCCCACCCCGGGGCGCACTGAGCTGACCACCAAGACTGGGCATGGTAGCACACCTGTAATCCCAGTACTGGGGAAGCTGAAAACAGGAGGATCACTACAAGTCCAAGCTGTGTAGTGAGACTCTGTACCAAATACATTAAAAAAAAAAAAAAAGTTGTTCTTCCAGACTTGTTCACCTATGTAAGCTTACATCAACTTACAATATGCATATGTATCTTAAAGTACGTGTATTTAAAAGTACATTCTAAGTATATGGACATACATGTATTTGTATAAAATATACACAACTATCTTAAGTCATTTGTACATTAGAGAGATTAGTAAACATGTTGTTTAGCACTGACCTGATACTTGCTTTGGTCAGGGTCCAGTAAGAAATCTATGCATTATTTGTTTATTTGAGCTCTTTATTACAAATCATTTCAAAAGTTCAAAAAAAATTTGAAAAAATAAAATATTCATGGTGGCACATGCCTGTAATTCCAGCATTTGGAAGACTGAGGCAGAAGCATCACAAATTCAAATGTAGTCTGAACTACTACTACTTAGCAAGACCCTATCTTGAAAGAGTGAATCCATATATCCACTTCATAGCTCAGTAGTCATTATGTTTTGTCATCTCTTCTGAAGAGGTTATAAAAATCATTCACTTTATGAATGTTTCAGTATGCACTCTTTTAAAAAGGACATTAACTTACATAGCCATACTTAAGAATTTTTTCATTATATGAAGATGTTCCCAATGTTATTCAAGAAAATATGCTTTAAAGCTATGCTTTTTACACCAGAATGCTATTAAGGTTCGTACATTATGTTATATTTTATTTTATCTCTTGAATTCCTGCTGTATCTTTCTGATTTTTTTTTTTTTTTCTTTTTTTTTTTTCCCTGCAGAACTGGGCATTGAACTCAGGCCCTTGCGCTTGCCAGGGAAGTGCTTATTCCACTGAGCCATCTCCCTGGCCCTTTGTCTCTTTTATTTTTTGACAAAAGTTTTGGTTTTGGTTTTTTGTTTGTCTGTTTTAAGAGACTGAGTCTTTTTGTTTTGTTTGTTCTTGTTTTTTTTCTTGAAGCAGGATCTTGCTATGTGGTTCAGGCTGACCCTGAATTCACTTTGTAGTTCAGGCTGGCCTCAGACTCATGGTGACCCTGGTGCCTCAGCCTCCCAATTGATGGGATAAGGCCTGCAGCACCGCTGGCTGAGTCAGTTATTTTGTACACACCAGTTATTTGTTACTTTGTACAACATCCTGGATTACTTCTTCCTGATATTTTTTAATGGGTTTCTTTATCTGTTGTGTTTTCATAAGATGAAATTAATTCTAGGGAATTTATATATATACTTTATGTAATTCATTAAGCATATAATGTCAGATTAGCACTATTTTTTTAATGTCAGATTAGCACTATTAATGATGGCAAATGTGATCAGCTTTTAAGGTGGTTAAAGAAATATCTTTTTTCATTCACAAATAGTCTGTGTGAGCTGAACATGATGGCATGGGCCTGTAATCAATCTCAGGAGGCTGAAGTAGCAGGATTGTCTCAGGTTTGAAGCCAGCCTGGGCTACATAGTGAGTTGGAGGTCAGCCTGAACTAAATGGTGAGACCCTGTCTCAGAAAACAAAACAAAATACATGTTACAATTGAGAGTAATATATTGGTCTTATTAGGGGCTCCGGGAGCTGGCTTAGTGGAATAAGCCCTTCCCTTGGCAAGCGCAAGGGCCTGAGTTCAATCCCCAGTTCCGCCAAAAAAAAAAAAAAATATTGGTCTTATGATTCCAATTTCAGATATATAATTGATCTGCAGATGCTCAACCACCAAGCAACATCCTCACTTCTATATTTGTTTATTTGAGACCTTGGGGCTGGTGAGATGGCTCAGTGGTCTAAAGCACCTACTTAGAACAAGCTAAGCCAAGCAAAGCACAGGGACCTTGGTTCAATCCCCCAGCACCACATGCCAGCCCGCCCACCGCCTGGTGGGCTGAGCTGGCCACACACAAAATAAATAA